CTGGTACGGAACGCTGTCTTGTGGACGGAGTTGTCTGCCATCTTGATCTGCCAGTAGCTCGATCGTAGGTCCAGCTTCGAAAATACTGTTGCTCCGCGCAGTTGATCGAGTAGGTCGTCTATGCGCGGTATGGGATATTTGTTTTTGACTGTCTATTTGTTCAGTGCGCGGTAGTCGATGCACATCCGTAGACTGCCGTCTGGTTTTGGAGTGAAGAGAACTGGTGCGCCGTAGGGAGAGGTGGATGGGCGGATCAGTTGTCTGTCCAGTAGATACTCTATCTGTTTTTTCATGTCTGTCAGTTCAGTCGGACTCAGTCGGTATGGTGCACGTGAGACGGGTTTCGCACCTGGTTCCTCCACGATCTCGTGCTCGTGGGTGCGTGCTGGAGGTACGCCTGCAGGTAGGTCGTCGGGCATTATATCCTTGTACTGCTCCAAGACCTCTTTCACTGCTGCAGGTAGCTCGGAACTCGGCTTCTCCTCTGCTGCTGCCATAACCAGTGCTAGGTAACCCGTGTTACTCTTGTTCACCGTCTGTTGGAACCGTGCCAGTGTCGTTTCAGGTACGTCCCCTGTATCCGTCCAGCTTCGCAGCTCCACCCGTTTCCCGTTGTTGTAGATGCACACCTTGCTGTTGACCCAATCGATCTCGGGTTGAACTGCTTCAGGAAATCTCGCCCCAAGATAAAATCTAATCCTTTGATGTTGGTGACTGGTAGCTTTGGCTTCCACCTCAACGCACCTATATGCAGTTGCAGTGATGCTTCGCCGTGGATAGGAAGCTTCGTACCGTCCACCATGGTTGCTGAAAACTGGGTCTCTTCCGCCTTCTCTCCAATTTTCTCCAATGCTCCGCGGTCACACACCGAGTGAGATGCACCGCTGTCCACCAATGCCTGGAGGCGTCGCCCATTGCATAACACCTCGAGGAGTAGTGGTTTCTGCTGTGCTGAGTAGCCAAAGAGGGTCTCGTTAACAGGATCATAGGGCACATCAAACTTAATACCTTCCCTTTTTCCTATACCTGACTCAGCGCTTTCCAACTTCACCTGGGGGGTAGGAGGATTTTTCCGAGGCTTGTATAATTTTTCCTGAGCCTGGATGTCTCCTCTAAGCCTTGGCAGTTGTGTAGGCTTTACCTGTGGGCGACGGGGAGCCTTAACAATGTGCTGCGGGGAGAGAATATTAACTCCACGGAACGCACGACCCTTCTCTACGCTCCGTAGTATTTTGCCCAACTTCTCAGGTACCTGAATAATTTCTAAAGGCTTTTTCTTGGCCTCTAGACCTCCCCTGAATTTTTTGAAGGCTTGTAAACCACGAGAAGCAATATTCTTCGTTAGAGCATCTTTATAGGATACTTTTAACGAATTCTTACTTTCGTGGGTGTTCGGCTGGAGTTTCCCGGTCAGTGCAGAGTCTTTTTTTCGCGGAGCCTCCATTCGCCTCGGTGATTTCCCCTGATGTCGGCCGGTCGTGACGTTTTAAATTCGCGCAATCTTTTTCTCCTTTTTTCACCCGCTCCGAAGTCGCCACGTCGTCGCCTTTTCCTGCTTTTCGGATCTTTACGCGATCGCCAGGTCGATCCGCGGCTACTGGCGATTCCCGTTTTTTGACTTCGGGGGTGCTCCACTGTTTCCGTCCCGGAGTGCCGCACGTGCTTTCTTCATTTTGTAGCACGACAAAAACTGATGTCCTGCTGCGCCGCAAAATTCGCATTTTGTCGGCTGCTGCTTCGCGTCGTATTTGTCGATATCCATCGGTTCGGTGAACGTAGGGGGTGCCGATCGCTCCGTGCCGAATGTACGGTTCGGCGTGAAGCGTCGTGTTTCGGGTTGACTTCGAGTCAGCGCGTCGTATCGCTCGGCAGCACGCACGATGTCTCTGTAGCTGTTGTAATTCGCCGCAATCACCTGCCGCCGAATCTCCATTTTTAATCCTTCGGTGTACGCCTGGATTTTTTCGCCTTCGGTCAGGTCGGTGATGCGGTTGAACAGTAACTCCATCTGCTGCGTGTACTGTGTTACACTACTGTATTGCTTGTGTCAGTGTATCTGCTGCCGCGCCATGTAGGTTGTATTAATTGGTTCGAAACGCTCGATTAAATCTGCCCGAAACTGCTGCCACGTTTTCTCCCCGCGGGCTACGTCGGTGTAGTAAATCCATTCGAGAGCCGGTCCACGTAACAGTGTCGCTGCGAGCCGAATCCTTGTTGCGTCGTGTTGCGGGGTCGAACAGCCAATGGCCTCGAAGTAAATTTCGAGGGTGGCCACGAATCGCCGGACGTCGGATCCCTTCGCGCTTGGATCGAACGCCTCCGGGAGCCTCGGTCGTGCTGCTTCGAGGTTCGGCGACAGTGGTGCCATTGGTCCGTGAAATGTCGGTGTCGCCACTACTGCTGGAGTTGTCGGTGCTGTAGTCGCTGTGGTCGCTGCTGCTGCGGTGGCGAACCCTGGTTGGCTTGTCAGAAAAGCCTCGAGTCGACGAAGCGTCGCCTGCGTCTGCTCCATATCGGTGCGGAGGCTCGCGATGTCGCTCGTAGTCGCGTAGTTGTCGTCTTGGCCCTCCATTTGGTGATTTACAGGAAGATGCGCGACGAAAATAATCGAATTCTAGGTGCTAGTCGACTTACTGCGAGTCAAATTGACTGTAGAATCGACGAGCGCGAATTCTGTAGGATGCGTAAATCTCCCTTAGGCGAAATTCGCGTCCGATCTCGGCCGTTGAGGAGAAAATCGATCCGACGCTCCAAATTCCAACTTTTTTGGGCGAAATTCTCTGGGCCGTTGAGATGAAACTCGATCAAACGGTCGAAACTCCAACCTTTCCACCAGTAAATCTGAGGGGTGTTCGAAAACCGAATCGAGGGGGACTTAGAAAAATTGCGCGGAACTGGTTTTACATACCCGTATCGGCGCTTTCGTCGTCGCCCCCGCGGTTTTTAAAGGCCGGAACTAAGCGGTTGAAGACCTCGCGTGTAAACCCGCTCTGATACCAAGTGTGAGGATCTGGGATCGAGCTCAGAAAAGAGAATGAGAATTGAGTCGAATTGAATTGAATTGAATGTCCACCTGGGTACAACACGAGGCTATATATAGGCTCGACACAAGGCCCCGTAACCAGGTGTTACGCGAAGGTTCCGCGGGTCGCGAAGCGTCCCGAACAGATCCTTACCGAATTCGGTAGAAGGCAATTCGGTGGCAACCGAAAAGCCAGAATTCGGTGCACGCAACCTAGCTCGGTGCTATAACTATAATAAAATATAGGAAAGCACCTAGCCTAGGAAATCAAGCAATTCATGCATGCATATGATTATCCTATGCTAGAAATAGCATGATAAAGTAGAGGCAAGCAAGCATAGCTGGCATAAGCCGTCGTACTCTCACAAACGCTACCATTCAGGATGTCTGGGTTGATACCTTTATTCCTGGAGGGCAGCGTGTGGCGATCTGTACGTGCTCCCGGACTGGCCGTCACCTTGCTACGTTCACTCGACGGCCTGATTCTAGTCTGTACACACTTACCGCTGCGTCTGCACAAGTGGCTGAGTCACGTCAGGTGGCTACGTCAAGCCAGGTGTCTGCGTTTGGTCAGCTTGCAGCGTCTTGCTCATGTCGGGTACTCTCCCACCAGACTCTCCTCTAGCACCACCGCCTCGGTCACCCGTCACTGCCGTGTCTCCGCAGCATGCACTCCCGTCTCCTTGTCTCTGGGCTTCCTAGGTCCCTGCCCTCCCTCCCACGCTCGCTTGCACCGCCCTACCTTCCCTTCGTCTAGGGGCGGCAGTGCACCGCTCCTCACTCCTCCGAGTTTCCTCCGACTACTGCTCCTCTGCAGACTCTCCATATAAACGTTGGTGGAACGGACCAGGAGCGCTACTTCCTGCTGGTTGTTGACGACTACACATGCTACACCGTTGTCTTCCCCTTGTGGCGCAAGGCAGATGTCAATGGTGTTTTGATCCCCTGGATCCGTGCTACTCATCGCTAGCTGTGCGAGCGATTTCGTCGGGACTTGCCAGTCCTGCGTCTGCACTCTAACAAGGGCGGTGAGTTCTCTTCTGGCCTCCTTGAGGAACTGTGTCAGGACGAGGGCATCTGCCAGACGTTCACGCTTCCAGCCTCTCCTCAGCAGAATGGGATTGCTGAGCGTCGCTTTGGCTTGATCATGGAGGTTGCTCGTACCTCCATGATCCATGCGGCTGCTTCCCATTTTCTGTGGCCGTTTGCGGTCCGATACGCTGCGCATCAGCTCAACCTCTGGCCCCGTGTCTCTGAGCCTGAGACCTCGCCCACCCTCCGGTGGACGGGGAAGGTTGGCGATGCGTCGGTGTTTCGGGTCTGGGGAGCGCTCTCCCTTGTTCGCGATGCCAAAGCGAGAAAGCTCTCCTCTCGCACTCTCCGCTCCGTCTTCCTTGGCTTCCCCACCGACGCCCCGCCGTGGCAGTTCTACTACCTGCGCAACCGTCGGGTGTTCTCCTCCCATGACGTCACCTTTGATGAGTCAGACCGTTTCTACAGGCTACACCCGTACGCGTCCCACTCGGTCCCCCTAGCGCCTCTCTTCCTTGTACCAGTCCCCCCCCCCGGTAGACCCCCTCCCCCCACAGAGTCCTACTCCCTCAGGTGTGTCTCAGATAGACCCACCCCCTTTGGTTGAGCCTTTGGAGATCTCTTTTGACTCCTCTGGCCGCACTAAGGGGGGTGATTCTCGCCGCTGACGACACGGCGACCACTCGCCGCTCTCCATGCTTGGAGACTCCCCCTGGTTTTCCGCCTCGGCCGTCTTCGCCACCTTCACAGCCTGCTGCCGTGGACTTTGGAGCTGAGATTGCTGGTGCTGAGTCAAATGGTGAGGGTTCTAGGGGTGTTGCAACTGGGGGTGCTGATTCTGGGGGTGCTGCGAGTCCTTGTGGCGGTGGAGTTGTGGGTGACCCGGCTGGAGGTACTGCTGGTGCTGGAGGTACTGGAGGTACTGCTGGAGATGCTAGAGGTACTGATGGAGGTGCTGCTATTGCTGGAGGTACTAGAGGTACTGCTGGTGCTGGAGGTGCTGGAGGTACTGCTGGAGGTGCTGCTGGTCCTGGAGGTACTAGAGGTGCTGCTGGTGCTGGAGGTGCTGGAGCTGCTAATCCTGGAGGTCCTGGAGGTGCTGCTAGTGCTGGAGGTGTCGGAGCTCCTAGTCCTGGAGGTGCTACTAGTGCTGGAGATGCTGGAGCTGCTAGTCCTGGAGGTCCAACTGGTGCTGGAGGTGCTTGTGCTGCTGGTGCTGGAGGCGCTGGGGCTAGAGGTACTGGAGGTGCTAGAGCTGCTGGTCCTGGAGGTGCTCGTACTGGAGGTACTGGAGCTGCCGGAGCTGGTGGTGCTTCTGCTGTTGGAGGTGCTACTGGTGCTGGAGGCGCTGGAGCTGGAGGTACTAGAGGTGCTGGAGCTGCCGGAGCAGGTGGTGGTGGTGGTGTTGGAGGTGCTGGAGGTGCTATTGGAGCTGCTAGCACTGGAGGTGCTGGAGGTACTGCTGGTGCTGGAGGCGCTGGAGCTGGAGGTACTAGAGGTACTGGAGGTGCTGGAGCTGCTGGTCCTGGAGGTGCTCGTACTAGAGGTGCTGGAGCTGCCGGAGCAGGTGGTGCTGCTGGTGCTGGAGGTGCTAGAGATGCGACTGGAGCTGCTGGTGCTGGAGGTGCTCGAGCTGCTGGTACTGGCCTGCGCCGACTGTTTTTCTACCTGCAGTGGTAGTCGTCCCTGCCGCCGCATGACTCGGCCCTTCGCCAGGTTCTTAGTCTTCGTTTCCACTGGCCTCACTCCACCTATCCTGTGTCCACCGACAGACCAGTCTCAGCCACAACTACTGCCTGTCTCCCCGCTGCCTGCTCCTGCTCCTCACACTGAGGTGACTGAGTCCCTGACTGAGCGTCGTGAGCCTGAGACTTGTGCTTCCACAAATGTTCGTGCTCGTCGTGTCGCCCGTCCACGTCCTCCTGCTGTCTCAGGCACTCACGGTATGGCACTTCGTCCTTCTGTTCCACAGCATTTTGTTCTGCCAGAGCCTCCCGCGTCCTCTCTTCCACACGTTCCTAACCCTGAGTCTGACCTTGCTCGTGCTTCCAGTCCTACTGTCTCTCGTCTCCTCGCTACTGTCGTCACTGACCCTGACTTTGAGTCTACTACTGCGTTTGCCCTAGTCACTGAGCTAGTCGACTTTGCAACTAGGAGTCGTCTCGACTACGTCGCGAGTCTTGTTACTGAGTCTGACTTTGACTGTCCTCCATTCGTCGGGGGTGAGCCTGCCCTTGGCAGTGACGTCCTTGAGGACAGGCAGTTTCAGCTTGAGTGTCTTGCGACCGCTTTACCTCGTTTCGCATCCATGGTACTTTGCCCTGAGGGAGACCCGGATGCACTGGACATCCTGACCCCGCGCTCTTACGCTGAGGCGATCGCGGGTGAGTACTCCTCTCAGTGGCAGACAGCCATGGATGCAAAGATGGCTTCCTGGAAGTCCACATGCACCTACGTCGACGAGGTTCCTCCTTCTGGGGCGAACATAGCCGATGCCATGTGGATGTTCAGAGTGATTCGGCCGCCGTGTTCTCCGCCTGCCTTCAAGGCGCGTTACGTTGCTCGAGGCTTCAATCAGCGACTGGGGGTCGACTTCTTCCAGACCTTCTCCCCCACCCCAAAGATGACTACTCTTCAGGTATTGCTACACGTTGCAGCACAACATGACTACGAGCTGCACTCCCTCGACTTCTCGACAACTTTCTTGCAGGGCAGCCTTCACGAGGAGATCTGGTTGCGCCGCCCACTTGGCTTCACTGGGTCGTTTCCTGCGGGTACCCAGTGGAGCCTCCGGCGACCAGTCTACGGTCTTCGCCAGGCGCCCCGCGAGTAGCACGACACACTGAGGACTACATTTGCGGCTCTTGGGTTCGCTCCTTCCTCTGCTGGCCCGTCGATGTTTCTATGCACCAACACTATCCTGCCGCCGTTCTACATTCTCATGTATGTCGACGACTTGGTTTTTGCTACTGCTGACACTGAGGCGCTGGCCCTAGTGAAGGCGGAGCTGCAGGAGAGACACACCTGCACTGATCTAGGTAAGCTGCGTAGCTATCTTGGCTTGCAGATCATCCGGGACAGAGCACGGCGCACCATCACCCTGACTCAGTCACACATAATGCACCAGGTCCTTCAGCGCTTCGGCTTCCAGTACTCCTCGCCACAGCCCACTCCTCTGTCTATTAGCCACTCGCTCCCAGCTCCACCTTCAAACGAGTCCGTAGAGCCGAGTGGTCCGTACCCAGAGCTTATGGGTTGCCTCACGTACCTGATGACGTGCTCACGACCTGACCTCGCGTACCCTCTCAGCTTCCTGGCTTGCTACGTGGCTCTCGGTAGACACCGAAAGGAGCACTTTGATGTTGCGAAGAGGGTATTGCGTTGCTTGTGCAGTACATCGGGCATGGGGATCGTGCTCGGAGGACGAGGTCCAGTGGTGCTTACAGGTCACTTCGACGCTTCTTGGGTCGACGACCAGGCGACTCAGCGTTCGTCACAGGGTTACACCTTTAGTCTTTACTCTGGTTCTGTCTCGTGGAGGTCCACTCGTTCTTCTTCTGTACTTGGTTCCAGCTGTGAGGCTGAGATCTACGCTGGGGCCATGGCTGCACAGGAGCTACGCTGGCTTGTCAGAGGTCCACTGGTGATCCCCGATTGATCCTAGGGAAGGGTTACAGGCACGGTTGCCTGGGGGGTTATGGGCACACTGACCCGCTACTTAAACAAGCCCTTTTATCCCAATGGTCTAGTGGTTGGGATTCTGACATGGTATCAGAGCGAAGGTCTCGGGTTCGAATCCCGGTGTATGCACTTCGGGCATCCCAGTGCGGGGGGGTGTCAGAGGTTCACTGGTGATCCCCGATTGATCCTAGGGAAGGGTTACAAGCACGGTTGCCTGGGGGGTTATGGGCGCACTGACCCGCTACTTAAACAAGCCCTTTTATCCCAATGGTCTAGTGGTTGGGATTCTGACATGGCTGACCTACCTGCTGACCAAATTCTCCTCCAGTTCTGTACGTCGACAACAAGGCCATGCTTGTCTTGTATCGTGAGCAGAGAATGGAGCACAGAACGAAGCACATTGCTCTTCGCTACTTTCTTGCTCGAGAGCTGCAGCAGCGTGGTCAGCTTCGCCTTTCCTACGTGGCCTCTCGGGCCAGCACTGCTGATGTCTTCACCAAGGCTCTCAGGTCTGGTGATCTTCAACGTTTTTGCACCGCTCTTGGGCTTCTGCCCGTTCTACCTTACCTGCTTGTCTCTTGATCTTGCACTTGTTGCACACTGATATCTATATTTATACCTGCATGTTTCCTCTTGCTAGGTTGTGATCAGTGTACTGCCTTTGCTATTATAACTCTACATGTGAACACAGGCCTACGACATTAGGGCAAAACAGGCTCTCAGATTCGTTTTTTGCCTGTCGGATTTATTAGACTAGTACAAAATTTAAGGCTGAAACCCTCAGAGACGGTATAAAAAAAAAAAAGCTGAAATTTCAGAGTGCCTTAGAAAAAAAGTCTGAAACATCAATGTATCTAATGTTTCATCAGAAATGTATTCAATGTTTCATCTGATATCGAAATGCTAGACTAGGGGGATTTTCGGGAGAACATGCTCTGATCAGGCCTGTCGAAGTTCCTGGGGCCCATACTTGCGCTCCCCAGCTCCTCCCCATCTGACCTTGTTTTTGGTGTAGCTGAGTGTTTGGGCACCCTTAACGGTCACGGGCGCACCCCAAAGTGAAAACTTGAAATCCGGGCTTGTGAAGAGTTTGCACTTAGACGCTAAGGGAAAATTTGGGTGCTCGAAGCTGACTTAGACACTTTATAAACACAGGATTGGCTAGAAAATGCAAGGGAAAAAAACTACTCCTCGCGTGCAACCTAAGGAGGAGGGGGGGGGCACTTAGGCGCTAAAGGAAAATTCAGGTTCTCCAAGCTGACTTAGACACTTTATAAACACAGGATTGGCCAGAAAACGCTAATAGGAAAAATCCACTCCTCTCGTGCAACCTAAGGAAAAAGAGGGAGGGGGGGGGGGGGGGGGGGGGGGGGGGGGGGGGGGGGGGTGGGGGGGGGGGGGGGGGGGGGGGGGGGGGGGGGGGGGGGGGGGCAGAATTCGGGGGGGATGGGGGGGGGGGGGGGGGGGGGGGGGGGGTCTTACAACCAGAAACCAAAACTTTGAGACAGGGGAAGGCCTGGTTTGGGTACTTAACGCATCCGGGGAAGGGTCGAACTAGGCACTTAGTGGCACGGGTGCTGTGCGAATCTAACACTTTATGCAGTCAAGCTGGAACGAAAGTAACCCGGAATGTTCAGGGCATTAAGGGCATATGCCCTTGAATCTACAGGCCTGGCTCTGATAGGGCGAATTTCTGTGTCAAGGCGAATTTTGTGGTGTGAAAGGGCGAATCTGCAATGTCAGGTGAAATTTCAAGGTGATTGGTCGAAATTCTTGTGCTCTGACGGCGCAAATCTGATGTGTCAGGGCAATTTTGCTGTGATTGGGTCAAAATTCTGTGCTGTAAGGCGCAGATTTGTTGTTTCAAGCCGATTTGCATTGACTTTGGGAATCTGCTGTGACCCGTGAATTCCGAACCGAATCACCAGTCAAGAACGCAAGCTGAAAATGGAATTGGTACGCGTTTGTACTCTGAGTGATCAGAGTACACTCCCGGAAAACTCTGAAATGTCAGAGTTAGCTTTAGAAGTTCTCTTAAAATTACAGAGTTGGGGCCCTAAAATCTCTGATTTTAACAGAGCTCACTTGAAAAAAAATCTGAATTCTCAGATTTTTTCATGCAAATCAGACAAATTTCTCTTACTTCTGGGGGCATGGGGCAAAATATCCTGATTACCCTTATTTCGGGATGATGTTTTAAGTTTGCCCTGGAATTGCAGAATGACGCTAAAATTTACCTTGTGACGTTAGGATGATTCATGTGTTTTGCCCTGAAATTTCAGAATGGCAGTGAAATTTTGCCCTGAAGCGTTAGGGTGAATGTAGAGGGATGCCCTGCCTTGTGGGAAGGGAAGAAGGGGTGGAGGGGGGAGAGGAGGAGAGGGGAGGAAAGAGGCTAGGGGGTGTGTGTTCTAGTTTTGTCCCCACCCCTCCCCCTCCAAAGTTTATGCTCAGCCAATAGAAGTGAAACCACTGAAGAACCTGCTCCTTTCGTGCCTTCCCTTCCACTCTAGTGTGTTGTATTTTTTTGCCCTGAAATATCATATACGAATTTCTGCTGGTGCCCTGAAATTTCAGGATGGCCAGGGAAATTTGCCCTGGAAAATTAAGGCATTTCGCAAAGTTTTCAAAAGTTGCCCTGAGGGCTCAGGGTGCCCTAAATCCTAACACAGGCCCTGTGTGAACTAGCATTGTGGCCGCTTCCTTGTGCTCGACTTGTGTGGTGTCATTGAGATCCACCCTGAGCTTTGCTTTGCTTTGCTCTGTTCTCTTGTTTAAGTGGTTTTGTGACCTGTCAGAATATTATTCTCTAGCCTATAGTGGGGTGCTCTATAGCGAGTACAACCCTGTTAGGGTTTGCTATATGTATCCCAACTGCAGCTAGTGAAACCCCTCCCTTCTTCATTCCTCATTTCTTCTCATGCTATCAAAGCATCTACGCTCCTGGCCTGTGGGCCCACCTAACTGCTTCCGCTGCTACTCTGTCTGCTGCACGCCCCGTGGCGTGCCCCTCGCGCGACCCCTACCGGCCCCGTCGCCGCCCTTCTCGGCCCCTCGCGGCCCCTTCGCGGCCCCGTCGCCGCCCCTTCGCGGCCCCGTCACCGCCCCCTAGCGGCCCGTCGCCGCCCTTCCAGGCCCCTCGCAGCCCCTTCACGGCCCCGTCGCCGCCCCTATTGGCCCCGTCGCCGCCTCCAGCGGCCTCGTCGCCGCCCCTTCGCGGCCCCGTCGCCGCCCCTAGCGGCCCGTCGCCGCCCTTCCAGGCCCCTCGCGGCCCCTTCGAGGCCCCGTCGCCGCCCCTATCGGCCCCGTGGCCGCCTCCACCGGCCCCCGTCGCCGCCCCTTGCGGCCCCGTCGCTGCCCCCTATCGGCCCCGTCGCCGCCTCCACCGGCCCCGTCGCCGCCCCTTGCGGCCCCGTCGCCGCCCTTTTCGGCCCTGCCTCGACCCTGCCCCGGCCCAGCCCCGGCCATGCTCCGTCGCCTGTCGCGGCGCACCGTGGGCACGTCCACCCCCCCCCCCTCTTTTCCCGTCGCCTGTCGAGGCGACCTGGGGGGGGGGGGGGGGGGGCGAGCGTCCCCAATTCTGCCGCCTGCTTTGGCGCCCTGGGAGGCCGCGTGTCGGCCCCCCCTTTCCCCCCCCCCCTCGTAACCTCCCAACCCGCCGTCCCGCCCTGCCCTGTGTTAGGGTTTGGGGGTGGCGAGAAGGGGGTGGCGGGTGTGTGGTCTCCTCTGCTCCTCCTCCTCCTCTGTCTCCCATTGCTGCAGCAGCCGCTGAGGGGGGTGGGTGTGTGGGAGTCGACGGAGTGGTGCTAGGGGGTGGGGTGTGAGTGAACCTAGGGTGCAGCAAGGGGTGTGTGAAAGGGGGGTGCTGTGGGAGTGGAACTAGGGTTTGAGCAGGGGGTGTGTGTCGAAGGGTGTGGGGCAGCTGGAGGAGGTTGTGTGAAGGTAGCTGTCGTGTCGCCTGCAGCGCCAGTAGTCTGTCGCCCTTGCTTCGGTAGCCAGTGAGCCTGTTGCACCAGTCGCCAGTGGGTCCGTTGCTCCTGCCGCTCGTCTATAGCCGCGGAGCCACTTACTCCATTAGTCCGTCGCCCTTGCTTCAGTAGCCACTGAGTAACCCGCTCCTGTGCCCGTGCCTCTGCAGCTTCAGTCGTTGCC